AGTACTACCAAACCATTTATAGATGTAAATTAAAACTGGACCTACACAGTTACAACAGAAGAAGAGAATGCGATTATCTAGCTACTTGAGGCTGAGGAGATAACTAATCTAAATAATTGGGCCCAAAAGGATTATATTAACTCCCCTGGTATACTAATAAAATAGGATAAATAATTATTAAACTCCTCCTCAGTTTACTGTTATATCAACAGCAGAAGAACAATTATAGAAACATTCTGACAACAAAGTTATGATCAGACAATTGCTAATTATATATCCCTGGCAGAAAAACTATAGCTAACCAAGTCAAACAAATATGCATGAACACTTCTTAAATACCTATGCTGCTGCAAATTAACTTCTACAGCCTTAGCCTGCATTGAAATTGGCTATTGCAGATACTTGGAAACATCCAAACTTTTAAGGAATCCTCTGGTTTACATACAAAGGGATTTTCTGGTTTACATTACCAAAACTCATTTAAAGGGAATGACTGAACTGTTGTACATCATTAGTTCAAAATGCAGGGTTGTGCATTTCTATGCCTCGTTAGAGAAGCTCTGGTGGCTCAGTGGTTAAGCATTCTGCTGCCAACTGAAAGGTCAGCTGTTCGAACCCACCAGCCACTCTGTGGGAGAAAGATGTGACAGTCTGCTTCCTTAAATATTTACAGTCTTGGAAACCCTCTGGGGCAGATTTACTTTGTCCTATAGGGTCACTATGAGTTGGAATCAACAGCAACGGGTTTCAGGTTTTATGCCTAGTTAGAGAATACGTTCAAGGGAATAGAGAATCTGATTGCTAAGAGAGAGAAAAAGGGAGAGAGACAGCAAAAGCTCCCTGCCTTAGAGTAAATGTGACACTTTAAAAGGGCCATTTAATCCTGATGGCTCTTCTATAGCATAGGGTCTAGACTGCAGACTAAACAGGAAAAATGTGCTGAATCTTCACAAAATGGAAAATACATGAAGCCCCCACTACCCCCCAATTTAAGGTAGGGAAAAATCAAATTCCTACATTGAAAAAAGTGATCCCATGAAAATATTAAAATGCAGGGCTCTCATGTAATCGAAATGGCTCTCATGATCCCATCTAAACTGATGGCCCAACTCCTCCAGAAAGTCTTCTCTTATTAAACCGTATTATTCAACATCTCCTGGGCACTTGGATGTTCAATGTGTATTCTATTATAGATGGTTTTGCCATTGTTCTCAAGAGCAAGAAAGCTTGATTTCAGTCCATAATTATGGATTACTGGCCCTGTCCCTACCCTTGCCCCACAAGTTCCTAATACAGTGCTCTGCACATAGTGGTGGACCGTGTCTGAGCTTACGGTTAGAAATCTCCTGGAGGGGCAAATCTATCCTGAATTATCAAGGAGCTGATCTGTCTCACTGTTCCTTACAGACATTTGACCATTTTACTCCATACCAGTTTCTCCTAAATTGGGCACATGGAATCAAATTTACTAAAACACATTACTGCATATCAATTTGTCATATTAACCAAGTTCACCAGACAAAAGCCAAGAAAGGCAGTTGTCCAGATAGTTCACGGAAAAGGGAAACAATTATCAGGTTTTACCTGAATTACTTAGGGAGTTAAACAGGACTTATAACAGAAATTTCAGATCTGGGGACATGATAATAATGTGCTAATGCTTCCTTTGAAAGTAGATTCACCATGTTCTTACAGAAAAATATTCAGGGAAAATCATTCACCTTCCACGTAGTAATATTTTACTCCTATATAATAATTACGAGTTTATAGAGTACTTTCACACATTATCTAATTTTGAGCTTCATATAAATCCTACAAAATTGGGTACATCCAATTATCCCCATCGGATAGATGAAGCAACTGAAGCTCAAAAAAGTAAAATGAACTAACTGCCCAAAGTAACACAACCAACACAGGTGCGAAAGCCAAGCTGAAGCCCAGTTCTCCAGGCTTTACAGTCAGCACCCTTCCCACTATCTCTCTTTTTTGCTGAAAAGCTTAACCATGGCTATTAAATTGTATGGCACCTGGGATATTTTCAGACATCTAAGAAGTTGTGCAATGTAAGTACCTAAGGACCAAACCCACTGAAACCAAATCCATTGCTGTGGAGTCGATTCCAACTCATAGCAATCCTACAGGACAGAAGAGAACTGCCCCATACTGTTTCCAAGGAGCAGCTGTGGATTCGAACTAGGACATTTAACACATTTCATATTGCCTTGGGTACAATACCACAAGCTTGCAACTTAGTCAATACCATATTTGATGCTGATGACAAAGCTCACAATCAAAAGAAATTTAAGTACCTCTGCATTGTGGTTTATTTTTCTTAACCTTACATCCATCTCTCATCCTGACACATTTCCTTTCTAAAACTAAATTCCTACCACCAGCTGATAGAAATTTTCAAAACTACAATGACCAAAGTCCAAAGCCAGCCAGCTGGACTCAATAGCAGTGAAATGTTTGGAGCGTGACTTCTAAAGACAAGGGCAGATCTATCAAAGAGGTGATGCAATAACTCCCTGCTCATGTGTTCTCCTCAGTGTCTTACAGTCTGCACTCACTATCTTGCTCTTCTCTGAACATAAAGTGATTTTTAGCAAACAGCAAGCTAGAGGAGAGAACAACATGCTCTTTTATGTGCAATCCTTCATAAACAAAAGACTACTCATGAAAAGAACAGGCACTGTGAGTTGTTTTTTCAGTATAACTATACCTCCCTTTATGTAATAAGGGATGTGCTCCTGAAAAAAGAAAAAGTCAACCAAACGTTTGTAAAGAGAACCATATTTTCCCTTCTCTTAATTAGCATTTCAGAGCTATCTCAGCACCATTCTGATTTTCATTTATCAATGGGAAGCCAAAGAAGAAGCCCTGGTGGCACGACAGTTAAGCACTTGGTTGCTAACCAAAAGGTTAATGGTTTGAACCCACCCATCCACTCCATGGGAGAAAGACGTGGCGATCTGCTTCCATAAAGATTAGCCTAGAAAACCCTGTGGGGCAATATTACTGTGTCCTATGGGGTCACTATGAGTCGAAAATCAACTTGACGGCACCCAACAACAACAAGAAAAACAACCAGTTGCCATCGAATCGATTCTGACTCACGGTGGCCCTGCACGTGCAGAGTAGAATGACCCTCTGCAGGGTTTTCAATGGTTGTGATCTTTCAGAAGGAGATCGACAGGCCTTTCTTCCAAGGCACCTCTGGATGGATATGAACCACCAACCTCTCGGTTAGTAGCCAAGCACTCAACTATTTATGCCACCTAGGGACAATGGTACTCCTCCTCTATTCCCAAACCTGACAGTTAGTTATTAAGTAAAAATGTAAATGCACTAAACTAGATCCACTTTAAAGGAAATCTGTTACAAATCCTTCCTACAAAATTGTGTAACGCAGATAATTGTTCTTAACCTCTTTAAAAGCTGAGTGTACATGCAGTGAATTGCCTAGAGCCACAAGCATGGAAGACTGGCAGACACAATTTGCTGTTATGGGGTGTGGCCTTGAAACTGGTCCAGGTTTCCAAGCAGAGCTGTCTGGCCATTCTCAGGTTTGAATCCTATCCTTGCCCTCATTAGCACAAGACACTAACTGAGGTATCCTGCCTCACTGTTACGTGAATCCAAAAGATTTTTTCCCCCAGTGGGTCTCTGCATATCACAAGGCCGGACTTAAATTCAAGATAGGTAAAGGTTAGAGAGAAATTTTTCAATAAATCATTACCTGGGCTCATTCATATCTCTAAGACTAGAATCCCACGTATTTCAGCCCCTACCTCTATAAGGGAATATCCCATATGGGCTGTCACTGACAGCCAAGGAGGAGGAAGAACAAACTTCGCCAATTAACTGAGCAGATCTCCACATCCAATATCATTATGTAAACATCAATCAATAAATAAGGCTTGCGTTTAAAACTACGTCTTCTATGGAGGTCTGCCTTAGGAGAAGTGACAGGCCCAAGGTCACAAAGTCACTGGCAGGGTGCCCACACCTGCCTAGGAAATACTGCAGCATCAGACTGCTGTTTGCACTTGCTGGCTGGGATATGATGTGGCATCTGATTGATTTCGATTGGAGGCGATAGGAGCTCTTTATCCAAAAGGACAGTAAAATAGGTCACAAGATATTACTCAAAACAGATTCACACTTGCTTAAATCAGGAAACACTAGCTCAGTTAAACGAAGGGAATGAGATTTACAGTAAGTCACTTGATACAAAGACTGGCTGGCCCAGTGAATCTAGATGATTTCGCCTGCCAGTCAACAAAACGAAGTGTTATTAAAAAAAAAAAAAAGTTTCAGTATTTTTTTAAATGAAAAATATATTAACAGACCACTGCTAATAATAAAGCTCTGTCACACATACCTTAAGCATCCTAACACTGCAGCTTCTCAGAGAAATTCTAAAGGCAGCCCAGCCAGTCTTAGGCAGCAAGACAGACTGAGATACATTTCTGGAGCCCTATTTGCAGTTCCCCTCAACCCCACCCTCACCCTCACCCCCACCACCATCAAAAAAGTCCTGAATTGAATTGCCCAGCTGCACTTTTCCAGCTGCAGCATCACAGTTTTAGAGCGGCTGGGGAAGAGCCCCGGAGGAGCGAGTGTGCAAGGGCAGGGAACGACCAGGGAGCCACCAAGAGGCATCCTCTCCCCCTAAAGGATCCGGAGCCCTCTCCGAGGCAGGGGAGCCCCGCCGACGGCGTCCTCCCCGCGCTCGCTCCGCAGGAGCGCCCTGTAGGCTCACCTCGTGCAGGCGTGCCCGCCCCCGCGTGGAGAAGATGCCATACTTTCGGGCTTTCCAGAAACCGGACGTCTGCTCGCGTCCCGATAACGGGCACGGAGGGAAGGGGCTGCACACTCGCCCCTCGCAGGTCCTCGCAACCCTTCTTTCTCCCGTGGCCTCTCCCGCAGGAGCCGACTGCAGACCCCTCCCCCGACCCATGCAGCGGTACCCGCGCCCCTTGCCCGCGGCGTCTCACCTCGGCCCGCGCCCGCGCTGGTGGCGGTGGAGTTCCCGCAGCCCATCGCGCGGCTAGCGGGGGAAGCCGCGCTCGTGAGCTCTCCGCGGCAGGTCCTGGGGGCGGAAACGGAGACGGAGGGCGGGCGCGCCGGGAGCCAGAGGCCGGCAGGGGGCGCGCGGGACCGTGGGGCGAGCGAGCCGTCCTCTCCCACCGCCGTGGGGCGCGGACCGGGGCGCGGCGAACGACCTGAGTACCCTGGCGGAAACCACCCGGCATCCCTCGGCCCCGCCCCTCTCGGGGACCCCGCCGGACCCCCCCGTAGCCTCGGCAACCCCAGCGCCAGCCAATCTGCAGTCTCCTGCGGGCTCCTCGGCCAGCCATTGGTCGTTGTTAAGAGGGAGCGGGAGTTTAAAGTGGGTTTGGGGGCAATGGCGAGGCTCAGCGGCGTAGCCTACGAGAACGGCGGAGTGAGGCAAAGGGTCACAGGATACCCACCTGCCCACCCTCCACACCCTCTTTCTTTTCCTTTCTTTCCCCACTTCCCCTCCCGCCCAGGATGTGGGGAGGAAAGGAAGTGGCAGGGAGCACCTGTTTTGCACACGGTGGCACCCAATAAATGTTACCGACTGAATGATGCTCAGGTCTGAAACCAAGACCGAAACTCATTTGTTTTAGTAGAAACTGTTGCAGCTTTCCTCCCCTCCCTGCTCCGCATTGGCCAGTAAAGAACGCAGGTTGTTTACCGAGTTGGTCATATTAACCCACTCCACTTCTAAAATAAGTATCTGTCCCGATTTCTATAACCTGAATTTGATTACGGAGCTGTGAATTTTCCAAACTATTAGTTGGGCGAGTGTTATCGGAGTTATTAGTCTGTTTGGGTTTACAATCCCTGGTGGGCCACTTGATAGCTGTGTGACTTTAGGGAAGTTACTTAACCTGCTAGTATATTAGTTATTTCATCTACAAAATGGCAATAACAATTCAGGGCATATAAAGCATCTAACAATGCCTGATCCTCAATAAATGCCTGCTACTAATTTTATTATTATTAAATGTACTAGAAGTAAATACAAATTCCTTGAAGGCAGGAACTATCTGATTTACCATAGTGTTTTCCTGGCTCATAGTACAGACTCAATAAACGTTTTGTGTTGTGAATTCAAGCCAGGAATTAAATCTCCATCTTAAATTCATTTAATATTTATAGAGAACCTAGCCTGTGCCGGGATACAAACATGTGGGAGATAGTCTAACCAGGCAGACAGATTATAAACAAATGAATTACAATACAGGAACACTAACAGAGGAATACCAGGTGCTATGGGAGCACCGAGGATGCTGGGGTAGCAGTTAACTAAAAGACTTTCCTAAAACCATACAGTTGTGTCTAGAGAAAAACTTGAACCAGAGCAGGATGCTGGTGGACTGTCGAACATGACTAGTCAATTCTAACTTTTTTCTCTGTGTCAGTTAAAATCATACCACTTAGCTGCAGTTTTCATTCTTCAAACAAGAACCGACTGGGCGTGAAGGAGAGAGAAGAGGGGTGTGGCGGAAAGTGAACTGACAAGAAAGCAAGAGGCAGGAGAACATAGAGCTACGGGAAATCTGCAGCTGTGTACAGTATATCATTTTTAAGCTATGACTACTTTTGGATAGAAAAGATGTTTGTAGGCTTTCTCACTTTCTCACAGTTCAACTGTAGGAAACCTTGCCTCGATTTTCATAAGTTTTGTTTTGTTTTTATTTTTACCATAATGGACCCCTCACAAAAAGTTTGGCAGCCTGAGTTTTAGTTTTCATTTCCTCTTTTTCCTATTGACATATAAGACTTTACCCTGGTCATTAAGGCCAGGAGATTCTTTGGTAATAAAAACAATAGCCAGCATTTATTGATTAGCTATTTGTCAAGTCCTCTCCTGGACACTCCACCTTTGTACGTTGTTATTTCAGACACGTGCTACTTTTTACTCTCTTCTCAGCTGCAGCTGAAGCTGAAAGAACGTGGATGTGAGACCTGGTGCTGCAGCAGCCATCTTGCAATCACCAGTGGAGAACCTATCTGAGAATAGAACCATTGTCAAGAAGAGCAAAACCAAACAAGAAACAAGAGGCGTGAGTCCTGGTCACATCATTTGAGTCCCTATAGTCAGCTGCAGCAGAGGTCAGTCCTACCCCTCAGCTTTCCATTTATATGAACTAATAACTTGTCTTGAGACAGCACAGCATAGTGGTAAGAGTTTGTGTGAGAGCCCTGGAGGCAGATAGCCTGCTTCTACCACTTGCTCACTGTGTGCAAATTATGTCATTTCTCTGTGCCACAGTTTCACTCTCTGTGAAATAAGGATACTAACAGTACCTACCTCCTAGGGTTGTTGTGAGGATTAAATGAATTGATCCATTTACAGCATTTAGAACAGTGCCTGGCACATAATAAGTGCTTGAGAAATGGCAGCTATTATTCTTTTGCTTAGGCTTTTCTCTCACTTGAACTGAAAGAATCCTAGCAAGTACAGTGATCTCCTTTAATTTATGACTCATCTTTCTTGTTCTACCTTATTTTAGTTTTTCTATCAAGGTTACATTAGCCTCATAAAACGAGTTGTGTATCTTTTTTTATTGTTCTATTCTATAGAACAGTTTGTATGAAATAGGAGTTAGGTATTCCATAAAAGCTTGGTAAAATTCATTTATAAAACTCATCATTGCATCTGAAATTCAATGTCTTTAATGGGTTTTGGTTTATTCTGGTTTTCAATTCTTCTTGGATCAATTTTAGTAATATATCTTTCTGTAATTATATCCATCTCACATTTGTATCACGATGCTATCAGCTACACATAACAGAAAACCCCACTCAAAAGTTTAAACAAGACTTGAGTAGTTGCAACAGAGACAGTATGGCTGGCCCTTTATAGAACAAGTTTGCTGACACTGCTTTGGGAAAGACGAGAAGGAAACACTGTCTGACAATATAGATGCTCTATATCTATTCATATGCACCATTAGGATAGCCCACCCCTCTTCCAACACACTTATTAGGGAAAAGAAAGAGTATAAACATTTATTTTCCCAGTGACATGAATTATGCCAGCCTGTTGGTTAGTGGTTAAGAGCTACAGCTGCTAACCAAAAAAGGTCGGCAGTTCAAAGCCACCTGGCGCTCCTTGGAAACTCTATGGGGCAGTTCTACTCTGTCCTATAGGGTCACTATGAGTCGGAATCGACTCAATGGCAACGGGTTCGGTTTGGTGTTTTTTGGTGTCTTAACAGGTAGAAATTACTAGTTAGTTCTATAGTTGATTTGGGTTTTAATAACTCATTTTTCCTCCATTATAAACCTATCAGTTAGGATGCTTGGATGCAAACAACAGAAACTGACTGTGGCTAATGCAAACAGGAAATAAATTTACCAGAAGACTGTTGGGTAATTTACAGACTTGATAGGAGGGCTAGGGAACCAGACATGCAAACCAGTCAAGAAGCAAGGGAGGCTGGATAATGGGAATAATGGGGCCAGGGTGTCCTGCTGCTGTTCACCAGGGTCACTGTAGTTGCCGCTATACCTGCCACAGCCTCTACCCACCACCACTGCTGTCACAAACCCAACCCCACCTTCACTTAACCATCGTGCCACTTTCTCAAGATTTAAAGTCCCAGGAGGAAAAGTCCAAGGTCAGATGCTATACGGGGTCAGTTGAGTGGGGGCAGAGGAGCTCTGCCTCCCATCATGAGTTAAACAGCAAGTGATTTCCCCAAAATTTGAGAGTTCATTTGCTGAGTAATTTGCAGAGGCAGTTATGTATTATTATACAACAGGTATAATATTTGACTTAAGAATATTGAATCCAATGCAGTCATTTGAAAATGCAGAGAGTCAAAGGGATCTTGCTCCATGTTGCTTTATTAGTTAACAGAGCGCAAACTTAAACCCATGGCTTCTCATTTCTTGTGCAGCTCTCTTTCCATGACACTGTCCAAAAAAATCCAAACCAGTTGCCGTTGAGTCGATTCCGACTCATAGTGACCCTATACTGTACTACCTCTTTTATCCTGAGAGACAGGAGCTGATGTCATCTCCTTGACTATTTTCCTCCCTTGCACATATTATTCTTCCTTTGGGAAAATAAGAGATTGAGGGGTGTGGAGCTTTGGGCCTCAAATGACCATCAGACTTGGAAGGCAGCTTTGGCTCTGAGAACCTACAGAGTTTGCCAGGGGGCCCAGAGGAGCTGACTGAGGAGGCTGGGTTGGTAGGTACTACTAGCAGGGGACACCCACCAGAGGCAGGAGAGAAGGTGAATCACGTCTTTTTCCTGGAATTTGGCCACAGGTTTTCCCGACCAGCTCCCTGAGCCCTGGCACAGCTCTCTGGAACTGAAGCTTGGCCTCAGTGTTGATCATGTCTCCCTTGCCCAAGCCCCAGGGCACTCTATCCAGAGGCATAGAGAGGGGGGATTAGAGAGGGACATTTGCGTCCGGACACAAGTCCAAGGGAGTGCCAGATGAGGCCGGCAGCAAATCCTCACCCCCACACCCTCATCGACAAGGTGGGGTGGCAAACTTAGAGACTGCCCCTGGGTACTCGTTACCCTTGCTATGTGCCTACACCTCTGCTCTAATCACTCTGGTTCCCTCCCTTTTCCCTCAGATCAGCCAAGAGCCGACTAGAGCTTCCAAAAGGAACTTTACCAAGAGACAGCAATATCCACAGTTTCTCAGCATAGAGAAGGGCACATTTACACAGTTTATCCTAACTAGATTAGACTACCAGGCACCCAAAAATACATTTTCTCAGGCCAGAGGCCATTTCCCGCCTGCTCCTCCTGTGGTGCCCTCTCTGCTCAGCAGGAGTAGTTGGAACAGGAATCCCCAGTCTCTTCCACAGTCCTAATCGAGCAGATGGGCAAGCCCAGATGGAGGATGCTTCTATGCTCCCCTACTGCCCAAAGACCCCCTCACACTTAGGGTGAAATTTGGTATAAGCAAAACAGTATGTATTGGTCATGTAACTGAAAAGTACATCAGGAAGGATGGCTTCAATTGTGCTTTAAGGAGGTACTCAGTCATCAGGGCTCAGTTTCGCTCCATCGTTCAGCTCTGCTTCACTCTCAGGTCCTACTTTGTGGCCCCTGGTACCATGAAGATCTCCATATCATAGTAGCAAGACAATTACAGCAACGTGTTCTCAAACTGAAGGCCAACGAGCAAGACCATGCATCTTTTCTGGTAGCTCCTGATAGTCACTCTGAATGGGCCTGCTTGCTATCACATGCCCATCCGTGAACCAATCATTGAGGACAAGGGAAGTGGAATTTGATTGGCAGGCCTGCTCCACCCAGCACTCCATCCAGACTACATGGACCAACAGTGAGGAAGGGAAAGAGCTGCACAGGAAGATGGTGGGCAGGCACCAAGGCGGGTGGCCCTTCCCTTTCCTTGAACTAAAGAGTGACTTCAGAATGCAAGTCTGTTAAAATCACCCCTTCCCATTTTCATTAGAATCTTCCATAGTTTCCAAGTGCTCTTATGGAAAAACAAAATTCCTTAACTAGGCCTATATATATGTCCCCCTAAAATGTGTGTTGGAATCCTAACCCCTATACCTGTGGATGTAATCCCATCTGGGAATAGGGTCGTCTTTGTTATGTTAATGAAGCCATATCAGTGTAGAGTGTGTCTTAAACTCATTTTGAGATCTAAAAAGAACAGGTTAGGTACAGAGAAGCAAGCAAAACTGGGGGAAAGACAGAGTTGACATGGAGATCACCAAGGAACTCCGAGAAAAACACTAGAGAAGCTAAAACAAGGATTTTCCCCCAGAGTGAACAGAGAGCCTTTCCCTAGAGCCAGCACCCTGAATTTGGCCTTCTAGCCTCCTAAAATGTGAGAAAATAAATTTCTGTTCATTAAAGGTACCCACTTGTGGCATTTCTGTTACAGCAGCACTAGGAAACTAAGACAAAGGCCCTGCTTGGTTTGACCTCTATCCGCCTCTCCTACTTTTCCTTACACTACCTCAGCACCAGATGCATCACGTTCTTTCTGTTCTTTGTACACTTTGTACTGCTTTCTGCACTAGGCCTTTGTATAAGCTGTTCCCTCTGCCTGCAATGCTCTTCCCTCCCCTCACTTCTCCAGATCAATTCCTCCTTAGCCTTCAGTCTTAACTCGAGTGTTACTTCTTCAGAGAAGGCTCACTTCTCTCTGGCTAGGCTAAACTTCCTTATTATAGAGCCTTTTAGTTCTTGTGTTAGTTATCTAGTGCTGCTATAACAGGATTACCACACATGGGAGGCTTTAACAAACAGAAATTTATTTTCTCACAGTTTAGGAGGCTAGAAGTCCAAATTCAGGGTCCTGGCCCTAGGAGATGGCTTTTTCTCTTTGTCAGCACTGGAGGAAGGTCCTTGTCTCTTTGAGTTTCTGCTCCTGGGCAGTCTTCATGTGGCTTGGCATCTCTCTTCTCCTACCTCTGCTTTAATTGCTTGTTTAATCTCTTTTATGTCTCAAAAGAGATTGACTCAGGATATACCCTACACTAATCCTGCCTCACTAACATAACAAAGACAACCCATTCCCAAATGGGATTATAACCATGGGTAGAGAGGTTATATTTATAACACATATTTTAGGGGAACACAATTCAATCCATAACAGTCCTCTAAGCAGTTGACACAGTTGCAATTTTATGCTTGTATGTGATTATCAGATTAATATCTGCCTTACCTGTAGACTATCCACTTCATTAAGACAGGGACCAGGCCTATGTGTCCTCATCAGTGTTCCTCTGACACCTCGCAGTTTTTGGATGAGAGCAGGGGCTCAGGAATATCTGAGAGTCCAGTCCATGCCACTATGCGAGCTTACCTTTCAGAGAGGGACACAGAAACGATAAATACATTTGTTGTTGTTATTTGCTGTCAAGTCGTCTCCAATTCACAGTGACTCTATCTATACCAGAACACAATGTTGCCTGGTCCTGTGCCATCTTCACTATCGTTGATATGTTTGAGTCCACTGTTGCAGATACTGTGTCAGTTCATCTCATTGAGGGTTTCCCTCATTTTTGCTGACCCTTTATCAATCATGATGTCTTTTCCTAGTGATTGGTCTTTCCTGATGACGTGTCCAACACAAGGAGCTGAAGTCTCACCTTCCTCACTTCTAAGGAACAGTCTGTTTGTATTTCTTGTAAGACTGATTTGTTTGTTCTTTTGACATTTCAGAATATAGTCAATATTCTTTGCCAACACCACAATTCAAATGCATCAATTCTTCTGTCTTCCTTTTTCACTGTCGAACTTTCAAATGCATATGAGGTGACTGAAAAGACTATGGCTTGGGTCATGCAAACCTTAGTCATCTAAGTGACATCTTTGCTTTTTAAAACTTTAAAGAGATCTTTTGGAGTGGATCTGCCCAATGCAAGCTATTGTTTGACTTCTTGACTGCTGCTTCCATGGACAAAAAAAAACAAAGACACACACAAGCAAAATCACCAACTGAGGGAAAATATGGTAAAGGTCACAGCCACACAACAAGTTGTGATTAAAAACATGAGTGGAGAACCTACTTAGGTAGTGATGACAACATGTAAGATGAGACCTGAAAGTGGGCAGGAGCTAGACCAGCAGATCTTAAAGCTTCCTGGTTTTATGTTTCAATCAGATATGGCCACCTCAGGGCAGCCAGGACTCAGGGCTTGGAACTGAGGGAGCAGGTGGAGCCCAGGGAGTGGAAAGAAGATTCTGCAGAGCGAATTTCCTAGAATTTCAGAGCAGGAAAGGGGTCTCAGGAAGTGTGGTGCAGTGCCCTGACACTAGGCATACAGTTGGACACCATTTTAAACATCACACAATTTATTTATGTTTTATCTGGGCTGACATCTAACTGGTTTTTATACATCATTTGCTATTTTAAAAGGGAAAGGGTGGAGTGCAGGCCAAAAGTAGCCACTTGGCCTCAATCTACTTGTAAAGTACATGTTTCCCACACCACTCATCATCACAATTTGATGTTGTCACATTTGATGTTGTTACTTTCTCACAATTTGATGTTGTTACATTTCTTTAAATTGAGGTAAAATTCACATAACATTTTAAAAAATGTTAAGTGTACAGTTCAGTGGCATTTAGTACACTCACAATATTGTGCAACCATCACCTCTATCTAGCTCCAAAACATTTTCAACACCCCAAAAGGAGACCCGGTACCCATTGAGCAGTCTGGCCCTATTCATCCCTCCTCCCAGCCTCTGACAACCACTAATCTACTTTCCGTCTCTGTGGGTTTACCTATTCTGGATATTTCACCTAAGTGGAGATGTTATTACATTGTAAATGTAGAGTTATTCCATAGTACGAATCCCTGGGTAGTACAGTTAACAAACTCTGCTGTCAACCAAAAGGTTGGCAGTTTGAGTCCACACAGGGTCATGTCAGAAGATAGGCCTAGCAACCTACTGCTGAAGAATCAGCCACTGAAAACCCTATGGAGCACATCTGACACTCCTGAGGTTGCCACAAGTCAGATGTGACTCAAGGGCAACTGGAAAATAAATCCGTAGTATTTTTACATTATCAGAGCCTCTACATTGTTTTGTGTGCTCTTATGGATGTACAGAATGAATATTTCCAACTGAGATCTGGAGTAAAAGGTTTTATTTCAGTGTCAATGGTTATTTATGATAATGATGAGAAACTAACGAACAATTTACAACAGGCAAGTTGACAAAACTGTTGCTCAATGCCTAATCGGCACCATGATGAATGTTTAATACCAAACTCCAAAAAAAAACGCAAACCCACTGCCATCAAGTCGATTCCAACACATAGCAACCCTATAACAACCCTGTATGACAGAGTAGAACTGCCCCCATAGGGTTTCCAGGCTGTAAACCTTTATGAAACTGACTTCCACATCTTTCTCCTGCAGAGTGGCTGGTAGGTTCAAACCACCGACCTTTCGGTTAGCAGCCAAGCGCTTCAACCACTGTGCGACCAAGGGCCCACTGGTTTAATACACATGTAAAATAAATAACGATATATCCTTTTCTCTGAAGCAAACTATTTAGAAAATATCCTCATTTCCTTTGGGGAACTGTGAGCATTTTCCTCAGCTATCTGAATATTCAGGATAGAAATAACATCTATTAGCCTATGCCAAGTGGATGAGCTGCCAGTGTGAGCTGAAGAAAGATCAAGGTAGAATGAGCTGGAAGTAATTCACCTGGAATTTACCTTTACATATGACTTCTGCAGATTTGAAACATAGTTGAATAATTTTTGATAGTTTAAAAACACAGAAAGACTCTTTAAATGTTACATATCCATTTACAAATTTAACACTCAGTGAGGACTATTAACTGAGCAGAGGCCTTTCACCTGTATTACATTCTAAGA